CCCTCGATGGGGCCGCGCGTCGACCGCGCCGAGAAGTTCGCCCTGCGCCGCGGCGGGCAGCCTGAGGAGGTTCACCGGGTCGAGGCAGTGGGCACCTCGCCCCGCGCTGACGGGGGGCAGCTCCAAGGCAGCGCGCAGCTGGGCCCCGGTGCGCGCTGCTGCGAACACCGCTCGCGGACGCCGCCCGGCGCCCTGACCACCTCCTCGAGTTCGGCGTCGAAGGAGGCGGAGGAGGAGGAGGGGGGGGAGGAGGAGGGGGGGGAGGAGGAGGAGGGGGAAGGCCAGCGCAGCCGCCAGAACTCGCGCTTAGCGGCCACTGCATCGGCGGCCATCGAGGGGGCGCCGCCCGCGCCGCGCACCTCAGCTTCCGCCAGAGGCCGGTCGCGAACCCATCGACGCAGCTTGCCGGCGCCCTTCGCGGCGGCCTGCGCGACCCAGGCGCGGGAACCCTTCGGCGCGACATGGGCGGCGGACCGCTGCGCCCGCCGCGAGATGGCCGATGGCGCGCTGGCCGCGGCCGCCGCTGCCGCGCCGCCACTTCGGGGTCGCCCAGTGTCAGGGTGCCTCGCGCTGGCGCGAGCGCGCGCCCGGCCGCCAGATGGCTGCGGGCCCGAGCGAGGTCGCGAAACCCGCCCGAGGGCCCGCCGCGGAGGGCCGCGGCCAGGCCGGCCACCTGGGCCCACCATGCCGATGCCGCGGCAGGGTCCGCGGGGCGATCGGGGCCCGGCGGCGGCGAGCTCTTTGTGCTTGAAGCGCTCGGCGCGCGGCGTCTCATGCACCTGGTCGCAATGGCGTTCAACTGCCGACGCCCAGGCGCCGTGCGCGGCCGCCGGGCGCGGGCCCGCGTCGGCGCACGAATCGAAGCTTCGCGAAGCCTTCGCGTAGGGAACGCGTGCCTGCAGCGCCGCTGGCCGCGGCCCAGGGCGCGCGCTGCACGGCCGCGGCCAGCGGTTCGACGGGGCACGGCGCAATCGTCGACTCGGGCGGCGGCGCGCCGGCAGGGGGCCGGGGCAGCCTGTCAGCGAGCGGCGCCTGGGGCCCCTCGGAGCGGACGGCGGCGTCGAAATCCCAGTCGTCGCCCGCGCCCCGTCGAGCGCTTCCAACAGTCTTGGGGGCCGCGCCGAGAAGCTGCTCCAGGGGCGATGGTGGCCGCAGCGGCTCGGGACCATTGGGCCCGCTCCACCCGCGGGACAAGGGCCTGGCAGATATGGTTTTCCCCGTCGGGGCCCGCGGCGCCCCCGACCGGGCGGCGCCGCGGCCTCGCTGGCGGCGGCGGCCGCGGCGGCGGCGGGCGGCGAAAGGACCGCGGGCAGGGTGGCAGGGTAGCTGCCGCTCGAACGCCTGAGCCGCGCCCCAGCGCAGGTCCAGGTAGAGGCCCACGTGGCCGTCTCCACCGAGGTCGGCCCAGAAATCAGAGACGACGCGCGAGATCCTTGCTGCCGTTCCCAGCGACGGCGAAGTCCAGCAGTCTCGGCGCGCCCGCGTTGCCAGTGTAGTCTGTGTCGTCGGGCGCCCCGATGAAGCCGCCGACCCCCGCGGGCCAGCCCTGCCGCGCCAGCTCCGAGGCCGACTTCTTGAAGTCCCTCAGAACCATCCAGCACTCGCCGACAGCAGGGGGGCCCGGAGGTAGCTGGACTTGGCCAGGCTGGCACTCTCCATGCCGATGCCGTCGGTGGTGTAGAAGCCCACGATGGCCCAGCGGCCGCCCTCAGCCCCGTGGATCGCCAGGGCCGAGAAATCCCAGAGGTCGACCGGTCCTCCAACGAACTCTGCGGGTGGCTTGCCAGCGAGCCCAAGCTCTATCGTCTGCTGCGGTTGGCTTTCCCAGTGGCGGTGCATCCTTGCCCTTAGGCGCCGTCGCGCGCCAATGGCCGCGCCGCCAGCCTTCGCCGCTCGGGCCGATGGCCCCCAATGAAGGGGTGGCAGCCGCCAGCACTTTCGTCCAACAGAGGCCGTCCACGCATTGGCTACGAACCTGGGCGGCGCCCGATGGGGGAACAGCCGCTCGTGGGAGGAGGTGGCAGCCCGCCAGCATATCTGGGATCTCCATCGAAACCTCCTTGAGCTTACTGAGCTCTCTCTTGTGGCGAAGGCAGTGCAGTTTCATCGTCTCCTTTTCCTGGTGAGCGAAGTTGCCGAAGAGGAGATCTGTACGGGCTGGCAGTTCGGTCTGGTTGTCGTACTTGTAGTACTCGTCCAACACCTGGAACAATGTCCTGAAAGCCTCTTCTGTCTCTAGTAAGTCCAGGTCGATGTCCTCCGTAGCCTCCGCGGCCTCACCCTGCAGCGAGTTCATGTCTAAGAACGCTCCCTCGCTGACTGCGGTGATGCCGCGCTTCCTGCAGTAACGTTCTAAGACCTCATGCTTGCGTCGAAATGTTCGATCGCCGTCGGTCCTCAGCAGCTCATAGCTCGGCGCCGTTTTGGACAGGCCTGCGTCTAGGCCTCGTCCTCCTCCGTCCCAGGTGGAGCTCACCTGTCGGTTCCACCGTCCGTGCTAGTCCGTGTAGTCATTCCAGCAGGTGGCGGTGTTGGGGCGCCAGGGGCGCGCGGCAGAAGGGAAAGCGAGGCAGACGAGGACGAGGGCGGAGGACGACGACGAGGAGGAGGACGAGGAGGAGGGGGAAAGAGAAGGACAAGGTAGGACGAGGACGAGGAGGACGAGGAGGACGAGGAGGACGAGGAGGTGGAAGTCCTTCCCGTCCGTGTAGTTGGCCTCGCCGCCCTCCGGTGCTGCTCGGCGGGATGCGGCTGCCCTGCGCGCCGGCGCCGGCGGGAGCGGCGGCAGAGGCCGCCGGCGGGCCGCCAGGGGGCGGCTGGGCCGGGGGCGGCGCGCGGGGCTCGCCGTCTGGCAGGGCGGCGACGGAGGAGCCGGAGAGAGCGGACGGCCTGCCCCGCTACTCCAGAATTCGTAATAAAGGGAGGGGGGTCTCATTTCGGGGGGGGGTCTCCTCCAGGCCATCTTGGAGGGCTTGAGGGGTCTGGGGCCGATGTTTTGGAGGGTTCTCCCACGGGGGAGGTCTGAAATGGCTTGTCTTGGAGGGTCCAGACCCCCTCCCTTTTTATCACGAAATCTGGAGTGCGAATATCAACTCATGGCAGCACACGAAGTCTCCACGGGATGTGTTCGATAGAGCAGATGGTATTGATAATCGTACCAGCTCGTAAGGCACGCAACCTTTTGCCTGACTCGGGGGCCCCTGGACATCAAATGGCAATGGTACAGACACATGTGAAACAACCTGCCTGCAACACATCCTGCTACGTATGCTGAAACTGCTGAGCTGTGCTAATGCACAAGACTACGTACACATAATTCGGTGGGGTTATATCGACACCCCAGCGCTTTCCCAAGCAGGCTAAACTGCGGCCCTTGGTGGTTAGGCATAAACTTGTTAAGCAAGGCGCCCATTACCGTTGCCTCGAATGTTTGAGGAGAGTCAGCCCCAGTTCCAACTTGAGCTACGCTGGAACCTTTTCGCTTTTCAGAGATATAGTTGTCAAGGCCCCATCCCTGCACCACAACCTCGTGATATATTGGATTGACGGTAGCAGTCTGCTAATTGTGCACTAAGTGTACCATATGTGGAGGATTTCGCATGGGCAGGCGCACAAAGCTGTCTATTGGTTGCCTTGCCCCCCGAAGTCCCACTTCAGAGCTGAGAAAGCTCAGGAGATAAGAGGTCCCAGGCACCCAACTCGAGCCCTGCACTTCTAACAAGCGCGTTGGGCGACCGCCGCGCCAGGAATGTGAATCCCGTTGGCAGGGTTTGTGCTCGCACGACCTGCTGTGTAGAATTCCGAATTCCGAGGAGGAGGCGGAGGAGGAGGAGGAAGAGGAGGAGGAGGAGGAGGAGGAAGACCAATATGAAGTGTAAGAGTACTGATAATACAAACCGTCACAATAGTAGTAGTAATAATAAGAGTAATCACACTGATACGTGATAATAATGATATAATAACCAATACTAGTACGAGTAATACTATAATTAAACAGAGGATTAATATTAATCAGAAGAAAACTAAGACGAATACTAATAAGAAGAAGAGGAGGAGGAGGAGGTGGAGGAGCCATGGCTGCGTCGCGATAGCGCGCGGCCCCAAGGACGGGCTCACCCGCGCGCTGGCCCGCGCCGCGCCGTCAGCCAGTGGCGGCGGCGGCGGCGCGGGCGAGGCTTCGGAGAGCGCGGCTGCCCAGGATGTGGGCCCATACCTCCCACGTGCTGGAACAAAACAGACGCAGTTATTGTTCGCAGTTTCGGCCTCTGGACGCAGTTTCGGCCTCTGGACGCAGTTTCGGCCAGTTTCGGACGAACAAAACAGACGCAGTTTCGGCCTCTGGACGCCCACGCAGGTCCCGGGACATTTTTTGGTCGGCGGGGCGAGAGCGAGCCTCTTCCGCTAAAAGCTAGGCGGGCTGCGCGCAGCTCTAATTAGGGAGACAGGGCACAGGAGGGCGGGGCCTCAGGCGACCAGAGCGGGCGGGGCCCGGGGTGCAGGCGGTGCCGAAGTGGATGTGCAGGAGAAGGTACGCCGCGGACAGGAACCGGAGGCGAAGATCCGGAGGGCGAGTGAAGTGGTGGTGTTGGAACAAAACAGACGCAGTTATTGTTCGCAGTCTTCGGCCTCATACAACGATTCGGGATGAGAATGCTGCCCTGGAGACAAGGTCGGGGCTTCCAGGGACCCCGTATTGGAGAGATCTGCACATCGGCTCTTTCTGCACGGGGTCTCCCCACGCTTTCAGGGAAATGGGCGGGAACACATGGGGTCGGAGGATCGCGCCGCATCGCCGATGTATCGGTCGTGCGGCTCGATGTGAAGTTTAAGTTTTCTCGACGCCAGCGTCGCCGAGCTCGGAGATCTACCGAGAGAGTCAAGCAGTGGCGAAGCGTCCCGGCTCGCCTATAGCCCCACTACACAATGTTCTAAGAACCTTTTGTGGTTCCCACGAAATGTTCTTAGAACATGTCTGCTGGGACTGTCTTGTTTCTATCACATCGGGTTTATGTTTTATGAGCATTGTTTTTGTGATTAGAACAGTGGTGGGTTCTAGGAACATTTCGTGGTATGACTATAGGAATGCCGGGACGGTCGGTCCCTGCTCAAGAGAGGGAGCTCGCAACCCACCAAACGACCCCAACCCAACCCGAAGGGTGGGGGGTCGGGGAACATTAAAAAAACCACATGGAACCCGTACCCCCCCCCCCAACACGAAATTCTGGTCAAATTCGGGTTTTCGGGTTGGGTTTGGGTGGTCTGGTAGGTCGTCAGGAACAGGCTGGCCATGACCAGGATGTTGCGGGATCCTGTCGACGCCTCGGCCGTCCACGACTCTCGAGGGTGATCCACGAACAGGAGCTGACCGATGTGGACGGTGACCGCGATCGGCACCGCTGTTTCCGCGTTCAGCCTTTGGTCATGGTCGCCGTTTTATTGCCCTCCATTCTTGCTCATCACCATCCTGGCGCCCAAGGTAAATGCCGCGGGCAGCCAGCCGCCGAGCTTGGTGGCCGTGAAGTCTTTGCGGCCGAGTGCAATACTGCAATGCGTCGATGGTCGAAGATGGACAAACTGTGTAAACATATAGCTTCAGCTGTCAGCGCGGATCTCCGCGAACTTATGTTTATATCGCAATGCAGTTTTTTGCTCCTCGAGATGGAGCTTGTGGACTTACTGAGCATGCTTGGCGGCTACGTCCACTCAGTGCGAGTCGCGTCCAACTCTTCGTGCTAGAAGACACAGGCATGACCGAAAGCTGCACCGTTTAGCATAAGTAACATGCCCACAATCAATGCCTCAAGCTGCGGGCGGCACTGGCTGGACTCCAACCGCGAGGCCGAGTCGGAGAATCACAACGAGTAGTTCAAGGAGGTGTTAACCATTTGCAAATCCGTTGCCCCCAGGCCTCATGGCGTCGCAGGGGCGGCAGCGGCAGGCGGTGCGTTGTTAGAGAAGCGGGACACTCTTTCCAGCTCCTGCGGCTTATTGTTCGGCCCAGCGGCATGCCGAAGCAAAGTCCGCGGACCAGATCGGCCATGATCGGAGTGTTTGGAGGCCTCATCTTGCAGCAGGCCTGTTGCCTGTTGCGGGTGGCAAGGCGGTTCGCATTCTGTGCGGCGACACGGGCGCAGGCGTCAGCGCCGACTTGCGAACAGCCCTGCTCCCGATCAGCGGAGGGATTGATATTTGATTGCCCTGTCTGACGTGGGGGAGATCCAGAAGGGAGTCGTGGCGCCATACGAGGCGTCAGCCGCTGCGCTTTATGTGGAGGAGGAGGAGGAGGAGGAGGAGGAGGAGGAGGAGGAGGAGGAGGAGGAGGAGGAGGAGGAGGAGGAGGAGGAGGAGGAGGGGGAGGAGGAGGGAGGAGGAGGGAGGAGGAGGAGGAGGAGGAGGAGGAGGAGGAGGAGGAGAGGAGGAGGAGAGGAGGAGGAGGAGGAGGAGGAGGAGGAAGGAGGAGGAGGGCGGAGGAGGGAGGAGGAGGAGGAGGAGGAGGAGGAGGAGGAGGAAGGAGGAGGAGACATTCCCAGTGCGCTGAAAGCGGTCTCCCGTGTCTGCGCGAGCCCCCCCCCCCGGCCCTCGGGCCTCCGCCGCGGCCCTCGGGCAGGCGCCCCCCGGGTGGACCTACGCCGTCGCGAGGACGCGCGCCCCCCTCGCCCCCCGCGCCCCCCGCTCCTCCCCTCCGCCCCGCCCTCCATCCCAGTGACCCCCCCGCGGTTTCCCCTCCCTCCCCTCCCCCCTCCCCCCCGCGCCCTCGCTCCTCCTCCCCCCCCTGCCCCCTCGTGCCTCCCCCTCCTCTCCTCGCGTCCCCCCCCTCTCCCCCTCGGGCCTCTATTTTCTTGCTTGGGGCACGACGGGCAAAACGGCCCCCGCCCGCCCCCCCTCATGACGTAACGCCCCCCCCCCCCCCCAGTGCGCTCCGGGCATTGCCGCCGTGCGCGCTGGGATCCGCGAAGGTGTCCGCGTGGGAATCCGCACGGGAGTGTGGTCCGCAGTCGTCGCCGTCGTCGTCGTCGTCGTCGTCGTCGTCGTCGTCGTCGTCGCTTGTGGCTCGTCGCTCGTCGCTCCTCGTCGTCGTGCGCGCGGACGCGGCTGGAGCTTGTTGTTTTTTTTTGATCGCGTCGCTCATTCCGCCGGCCGTGGAGCGCTATTTGGGGCCTCTTGGGGCCGTCTTGGGGGCTTCATGGGGGCTTTTTGGAGGCGTCTTGGGGCTCCTTGGCGGCGCATTGGGTCTCCCTGGGGCCTCTTGGGGTGCTCTCCCCTTGGGGCGGGAAGGGGGTAGTCGATTGCAGCCCCCCCCTTGGAGGCCACGATCCTCGTCAGGGGTGGCGAAAAATAGCCCCCCCCCGGGGATCGCCCGGGACCCAGCCGGGGATCGGCCGGGGTATTTTTCGTCCGGGGCCCCCCATGGGCCACCCCGCGCGCGCGAACTAGAAATATTGTTAAGTAGTTACCGGAGATCTTAGCACGCCTGTGGCCCGTTGGGCCGGCGAATTCCAGGCCGATAACGGCAATCATCTGGGGGGGGTGGATGGGGTCGATGACGTCACGTTTCGCGCTGGCGGCGTCTGGGAATGCCTAGGAATGAAGGAGGACGGGTAGCACTGTGGAGGACGATCAATGGTGAGGAAGCATGTTGCCAAATAGTTTCCAGAATGTGTTGGAGATGATCTGAACATGCTCAAGACATGTTTGGCATTTTCTTACATCATAGACACATTTAAAGTTCAATGAACGGACTGTTGGGGTGCCCATTGTCGTGGCATCCACAAAGGTAGCACCAGCATGTAGGTGGCGATCTGTACCACAACGCTTGTGTACACCACACTGCCTGCGTGCACCACAGCGCCTGTGTACACCAGAACAGCCGCGTGCAACACAACGTCAGTTTGTGCTACCGTGCCTGCGGGCACAACAGCTGTTATGTACACCGCAACGCTTGCGTACACCACATCGACCGTGTGCAACACAGCACCAATGTACGCCACAATGCCTGCGTGCATTGCAGCGCCTGCGTGCACAACGGCGCCTGTGTGCACCAGAGCAATCGTGTGCACCACAGCACCACTGTTGCATATAGAATGTAAGAGAGAATCCGTTTGGCAAATCGGAGCGCTTGTGGATTCCGCAGAAAACAACCGAACATATTATTTATGGACCAAGGAACGCTTGTGGAACCTACGAACGCTCCCGAACCCGCCTGCATCACCCTAACTCCTCCCATCTGCGTCCAGGAGGCTCCAGCTAAACTGGCCGTGCGAGAACCAAGTGGACCGATTCAACAGACCATTTTGCGGTGCACGCTGTGATGCGCACGTGCGCTGTAGCGCCAACCCGCACGACAGGGGGTAAGGAGGAGGAGGTGGAGGAGGAGGAAAAGGAGGAAGAGGAGGTGGAGGTGGAGGAGGATTGAGGAGGGAAGAGCGTAGCACTTGATTATCAGCACTTTCCTGCACGCAGGCATTGTGGTGTACACTAGCGTTGCGTTGCACGCGGATGCTGTGGTGTACACAGGCGCTGTGGCGTGCACAGGCGTTGCGGTGCACGCAATCATTGTGGTTTACACGGGCACTGTGTTGCACATGGTTACTGAGGTGTACACCTGTACGCCGGCGCTGTAGTATACACCTTAGGCGATGCTTAAGAAAACCCAAGTTTTCGGCCAGAGTCTCGATTATTCTTAACGTTTCAATGTAAATCCTAATCTTTTAATAAAAATGTTGGGTTTTTATTCAAGTTCTGAGACGATGAATTTCTTAACCCATGATTTCTTAAGCATTTCGCAGGGTGTACGCAAGCACTGTGGTGTACACGGGCGCTGCGTTGCACACCTATGTTGCGGTGTACGCAGGCGCTGTGGTGTACACGCGCGTTGTGGTGCACGTGAGCGTTGTGGTGTGCACAGGCGCAGTGGGGCATATCGCCACCTACATGCTGCTCGCGTCGTCGTCGTCGTCGTTGTCGTCGTCGTCGTCGCTCGTCGCTCGTCGTTCGTCGCGTCGTGCGCGCGGGCGCGGTTGTGGTGCCAGAGCCACACGGCCGGGGGGGGGGACGTTACGTCATACCCCCCCCCGCCCTGCATGATGCCCGTCGTCGCCGAACATAAAGAAACGCGCTCCTCCCCCCTTTCCCGCGCCCCCGTTCCTCCCCTCGTCCCCCCTTACCTCCTCCATCCCATAATTCCTCCCTTTCGCGCCCCAAGACGTGTCGGTATGGCGGTTTGGGCGTTTCGCCAGAGACTTCCTCACCATTGATGCTCCGCAAGCTCAAAGTTTGCGAGAGCTTCACAGATAGACGGCGGGTCGTTTTCAAAGTGTGGTTCTCGGTTTAGCGCCGCGCGCGTTCGTTTTAACGTTTGCAAGTATTTCACGGATGGAAGGCGGGTCGTTTTCAATGTGGCTCTCGCATTTGCGCCGCGTCCATTCGTTTTCAATTGTTGCTGCAAGCGTTTCGCGGATGTAGGGCGGGTCGTTTTCAAAATGTGGTTTGCGCCGTCGCGCCGCGCTCTTTCGTCTTTACGATTTGCAAGGGCTTCACGGATGGAGGGCGGTTACTTTTCAGAATGTGGCTCTCGCCTCAGCGCCGCGCATTTTCGTCGTACAAGTTCTGCAAGGGCTTCACGGATTGAGGGCGGTCCTTTTCAATGGGTGTTTCTCGCCCTAGCGCCGCTGCAAGAGTTTAGAGCGGTTTCGGTGAATGTTGCGATGTTAGAAATGTGGGACCAACTGAACGACGATTACATTAAGATGTGAGCGGGCCTCGGCCCTCCCGGCAGCTCCCTCGCGGAGCCTTGCGCCGGCTTCCGTTCCGTTCCGTTCGGTGAATGTGATGGCAGACGTCCCAGACTCTGTATTCTGGCGCGATGTAAGACCATCGGGGCGCAGCAGTTGTGTGGGCTCGCGGCGTTGGAGTCCCAGGAATGTTTTTTGGGGGGGCACGGTTCGGGATCGTCAGCACGGAGCTGTCACGTTGATTCGCGGCATTGATGCCCCAGGATTGGTTCTGGCACCGTTCCGGATTTTCAAACGGTTGTCTTCCAGCGGGGCATTATCCACAGTGGAAGCAACTTGTTGTAGGGACTTAGGAAGAGGGAGTTTGGAGGGAGGGTTGATTGCAACATCGTCGATGAGTCTTGGGCTTGCACTCGTAGTGATTTCCTCACCATTTATGATCCTGAACCTTACAGCTTGCAATTGTTTCACGGATGGAGCGGGGCGTTTTCAACATGTGTTCTCGCCTTAGCGCCGCGCCCATTCGTCTTCAAAGTTTGCAAGAGCTTGACGGATAGAGGGCTGGCCGTTTCCAAAATGTGGTTCTCGCCTTAGCGCAGCGCGCATTTGGTTCGAAAGCTCGCAGGGGCGTCATGAATGGAGGGCGGTCTGTTTTCAACATGTGGCTCTCGCTTCACGGCCGCGCACGTTCATTTTGTTAAGTTCGCAGGAGCTTCCCGGATGGAGGGCAGTTGTTTGTTTCCAATTGGTGCTCTCGTCTTAGCGCAGCGCAAATTCGTTTTTCGAGTTTGTAGAGGATTCTCATGGTTAATGTCTCATAGATGGCGTTTTGGCATGATGTCAGAATGTCAGTGCGCAACAGTCACGTTGATCCGCGGTGTTGAGGTCCCAGGAATGGCGTGTTGACACGCTGCAACCTTGACGATGTTCTGGTACAGTTCCAGATTTTTACACGGTTGTCCAACGGGGCACTTCTTTCAGTGAAGATCAATCCGTGCAGGGGACTGTGCAGGGGGTGCTTGGAGCGAGGGTGCATCACAGCATCGTTGATGAGTCTTTGGCTTACGCTGGCCCTGCTCAAGTTTTCGAAGCGTACTTGCTCCGCCCTGCAGGACCTGGCCGACGCGATGCCGTTGCCATCGCTCTTGCTCTCTTGCTCAAGCTCTGGACGGGCATCCCCGCGCTGCTGGGGCGCCTCCCTGGCTGGGCCTGGCGCGTCGCGCCCTGTGCTGGACCTGGCGAGGCGGTGCATCGTGCAGAGCCAGTTCGCGGAGTGCGTGTGGCTCGCGCTGTACTTTTTCACTTCCGGATCGGGGTCGTCATGACGAACCAGCAACACACACCCATACCCATAGGGGGGCCGGAGAGGGCTATGGGTGCGTGTTGTCGGATGGGGGTCCCCGCTCGAACGGGAGCGTTACCCAGGGCCCGACAACCCGCAGCCATACCCACAGCCAGTCCTCCTCTCAACGACCCCCCTATGGGTATGGGTGTGTGCTGCTCGCTCGTCACGTCACGGGCATCGTTTTTGCGCCCAGTGCTGCCACGTCTGCTCGCTTCCGGCCTGGGAGGCGGGCCGCCGTGCAGCGGGGGGCCGGCGGGTCGTGGGAGGTCCGCGCCCTCATCGCGCGGTGCGGCGCGGCCGAGGCGAAGGACCGGGCCGGGCGAAAGGGGGGGGATTGGGAAAGGGGGGGTTACGAAATTTGCTGCATGCAGCTGGTTTCGGCCTCACCGAGGGGCCCATTCCTCGATACATAGTCGCCTCCGGCGCCGGGAGGCGCCGGGAAAATCAGCTACGTGAGCTGATTCTCAAACCCCCCCCTTTGCTATCCCCCCCTTTCGCCCGACCCGAAAGGACGAGGGCGACGTGAGCGCGACTGCAGCTCAGGAAGCAGCGGGTCAGATTTGGTACGCGCTGACGCCCGAGTTGGACATGCACCCGCACGTCCTCGCAGTCGACGAGGGGTTCCTGAAGTGTCTCGTGTGCTTCGACAGCAGTGGCGCGGCGATCGCGGGGTCGAACTCGGGGACGAGATGGTATCGCAAGAATGTGGCATACGGCGACGGGTGGGACGCCAGCCCCCTGGAAGCGATGGAGGCTCTGGAGTTCGCGCAGCCGCCGCCGCCCTCCGGCCTGTCGCAAGGGGCCTGTCTGTACGGGAAGCGGCCGTCCCCAGGACTGGGCGGGGGTACGAGGTCGTAGGGATTGACTGCGACGCGGGCGCCGACGAGCTGCCCGCCGCCTCGCCGCCGGAATGGTTCGGTCTCATCTCGACCGACGGGGCTGGTGATAAGCAGAAGCTGACCAGTTTGAAGGTGGACTCGTACGTAAGAATGAGCGACTACGCACTCGCGAAGTGGGGGGGCAGTCTCCTCGTAGCGGTGGCCGTGGATCCCGCCTTGCCCGGGGCCGACTTCGAGCTGGATGCGCGGCTTCTGCCTTTAGCCGGCAGCCCCCAGGGCATTCGGCACCTGGCGTTCAGCGAGGGCGTGATCCAGCTCGCCGAGAGCGCGTGGCCGGGCTGGCCGATGATGGGACCCCGCACGGTGAAATGGCACATCAAATTCCTGTCGCAGCAAGATCAGCATCCGAGAGCTCGCCGCGCCAAGTGGGTCCACGAGGCGAACCTGGAACCCTGGGGCGAGGGCGCGCAGGATCACGACTTGGCCATGCGCATGTTCGAAATTGGGATCGCGTTCGACCAGGCGAACATCGCATAACACGCCGTTTACGAACTGCTGGCGAGAAGGGCCCAGATGGCCTTGTGGCGCCATCGTGACCGAGTTCTCTGCTGGTCGAAGGATGAGCTCTTCGATGATAAATTCCTTTACGTGGGTACCAGCCAGACTCGAGGGTTGCTGATGGCATCTCCAGAGTTGAGCATCGCAATAGCGAGCTTCATCGCGAGGCGTCAATTCTCAAAGAAAAGAAGAGAGTTCGGGAGGAGAGTGCGCTCGCTCGCGGGGGAGGCGGCGCTGGAGGCGGCGGCGGTGGCGGAGGGCCTTCAGCAAGGCAGTGGCGATGCCGACGGTGCCAAGTGACCTGCGATATGCCCGCGCCGCGGGAGCTGTTCCCAGTTGGCGGCGGCCGCGGCCCCTCGGCGGCCCTTGGCGGCGCGCCCTCGCTGGCTTGTCTCACGAGGAAAAAACGGACAAACACAGGCAATCGTCGATTCCTTGGGAAATAAAGGGGGAATATGGGAAGGGGGGAGACAAAAACCAAGAAATCAAGCTAACGAGAAACCCCACATACTTAGTTTAAGTCGCGTGTGTTCGCATGCCGCCTTCGCTCATCTGAACCATCGCAGCCTTCGTCGCCAAACATGGAGGTGGTAGCGCGTTCACGGCGATTTTGGGGGGCGTGGCTGCCGCGCGCAGGCGAGGCGGCGCTGTGAAGTGGGACTGCAGGAGCGCGCCTTCGTGGGAGCGCAGGCGCGCCGAGCCGGCTTGAGCCGGCGTGTTTGCAGTTCCTGACGAGACGCAAGCGCCCGCCCCGAGCGCGCCCTCCGCGGCGTCGAGGACATGAAATGCAGCGCCTGCCACGCCCCGCGAGCCTGCAACGCGTGGGGCCCCCGCCCCCAGCGCGCCCTCTGCGGCGTCGAGGAGATGCCTCGCCCGCCGCGCCCTGCGAGCCTGCAACGCGTAGCCCCCCCCCGAGCGCCCCGCCCTGTGGCGACGTAGGAATGCCGCGCCTGCCGCGCCCTGCGAGCCTGCAACGCATGCGGCCCCCACCCCCGGCGCGCCCCCTGTGGCGTCGAGGAAATGCCGCGCCTGCCACGCCTTGCGAGCCTGCAACACACTGGGCCCCGCACCCCCAAGGCGCCCCCTGCGGCGTCGAGGAAATGCCGCGCCTGCCGCGCCCCGCGAGCCTGCCTGCAACGCGTAGGGCCCCGCCTCTCCAGCGCGCCCCCTGCGGCGTCGAGGAAATGCCGCGTCTGCCTGCTCTTGGGAGCCTGCAACGCATGCGGCCACCACTCCCAGCGCGACCCCCGTGGCGCCGAGGGAATGCCGCGCCTGCCACGCCCTGCGGGCCTGCAGCGCATGGGGCCCCCACCCCGAGCGCGCTCCCCGCGGCGTCGAGGAAATGCTGCGCCTGCCGCGCCCTGCGAGCGTGCGACGCATAGGGCCCCCACCTCCAGCGCGCTTCCTGTGGCGTCGAGGAAATGCCACGCCTGCCGCGCCCTGCGAGCCCGCAGCGCATCGGGCACCCGCGCCCAGCGCCCCCCCTGTGGCGTCGAGGAAATGCCGCACCTGCCGCGCCCTGCGAGCTTGCAACGCATAGGCCCACCACCCCCGGCGCACCCCTTGCGGCGTCGAGGAAATGCAGCGTCTGCCGCGCCCTGCAAGCCTGCAACGCATGCGGCCCCCACTCCCGGCGCGCCCCCCGTGGCGTCGAGGAAATGCCACGCCTGCCGCGCCCTGCGAGCCTGCGACGCATAGGGCCCCCACCCCGAGCGCGCCCCTTGTGGCGCCGAGGGAATGCCGCGCCTGCCACGCCCTGCGAGCCTGCGACGCATAGGGCCCCCACCCCGAGCGCGCCCCCCGCGGCGTCGAGGAAATGACATGCCTGCGATGCACTACGGGAAAGTGCACGACTGGGGCGCGACGTGCATGTGTTGTGCTGCGATGTGCTGTGCTGTGCTGTGCTCTGCTGAGCTGCGCTGCGTTGTGCTGCCTGTGCTGTGCTGCGGTCTGCTGTGCTGCGCGCGCTGCGGCGTGCTGCGCTGCGCGCGACAGAGAACGGGGGGGGGGCGAGGGAGCCGCGTGTGCGACGCGGGTGGGGAGATTTCGCTACCGAGGAACCCCGCATGCATATTTTATTTCCGTTGTGTACCATCGGTACTTCTCCTGCTGCTGCTCCTTCTCCTCCTCGGTGTCCTCCTCCTGCTGCTGCTTCTGCTGCTGCTGCTGCTGCCGCTGCTGCTGCCCCACCTCCCCGCCCCCCCCCCCCCTCCCCTTCCTCCTCCCCAGCGCGCCCCCTGTGGCGTCGAGGACATGCCGCGCTCGCCGCGCCCTGGGAGCCTGCAGCGCATAGGGCACCCGCCCCCGGCGCGCCCCCTGTGGCGTCGAGGAAATGCCACGCCTGCCACGCCCTGGGAGCTTGCAGCGCATAGGGCCCCCACCCCCAGCGCGCCCCTTGCGGCGTCGAGGAAATGCCGCGCCTGCCACGCCCTGCGAGCGTGCAACGCATAGCGCCCCCACCCCCGGCGCGCCCCCTGCGGCGTCGAGGAAATGCCGCGCCTGCCACGCCCTGGGAGCCTGCAGCGTGAGGCCCCCGCACCCAGCGCACCCCCTGCGGCGTCGAGGACATGCCACGCGTGCCATGCCCTGGGAGCCTGCATCGCATAGGGCCCCCACCCCCAGCGCACCCCCTGCGGCGTCGAGGACGTGCCGCGCCTACCAAGCCCTGGGGGCCTGCAAGGCATAGCGCCCCCACCCCCAGCGCACCCCTTGTGGCGTCGAGGGAATGCCAGGCCAGCCAAGCCCTGCGAGCCTGCAACGCATAGGCCCCCACCCCCAGCGCACCCCTTGTGGCGTCGAGGAAATGCCGCGCCTGCCACGCCCTGCGAGCCTGCAACGTATAGGCCCCCCCCAGCGCACCCCTGTGGCGTCGAGGAAATGCCACGCCTGCCACGCCCTGGGAGCTTGCATCGCATAGGGCCCCCACCCCCAGCGAGCCCCCTGTGGCGGCGAGGACATGCCGCGCCTGCCACGCCCTGGGAGCCTGCAACGCATAGGGCCCCCACCCCTAGCGCGCCCCCTGTGGCGTCGAGGAAATGCCGCGCCTGCCGCGCTCTGGGAGCCTGCCGCGCATAGGGCCCCCACCCCCGGCGCGCCCCCTGCGGCGCCCGGGACATGCCGCGCCTGCCGCGCCCTGGGGGCCCGCAGCGCGTAGAGCCCCCACCCCAAGCGCACCCCCTGTGGCGTCGAAGGAATGCCCTGTGTGCTATGCTGTGCTGTGCTGTGCTGTGCTGATGTGCGGTGAGCTGTGCTGTGCCGTTGTGTGCTGTGATGTGCTGTGCTGTGCTGTGCTGAGTTGAGCTGAGCGTTGCTCAGCTGTGCCGCGCCGCGCTGAGCTGAGCTGAGCTGAGGTGAGCTGAGCTGTGCTGAGCAGTGCTGTGAGGAGGAGGGGAAGAGTGAGATGTGTGAGAGAGTGAGAGAGAGAGAGAGAGAGAGAGAGAGAGAGAGAGAGAGAGAGACGGAGAGGGAGGTGCGTGAGCGAGCGGGTGCGGCGCGGCAGGGAAGAAAACCATAACCCCACGAAGCATGTGGGGAAAAACCAGAAGCCCGCGAAACGCGTGCGGAAATTTGGGGATCCTGTTATTTGCGCATGTTTATTCGGGCGTCCCAGGGCCCTTTCATTGTCGCTCGGTCCGCGCGCGGTGCCGTCGGCGATGCTTCATCGACAGTTGGGTGCGCGAGGCTTGTGAGGGCTGCAATCTTGTGGCAGGCGCCCCATCGGCGAAGACTGGGGCGGGCGCCTCGGCGGCTCAGGCAGCGGGCCTCCGTCGCGCGCGACAAGTTATCAGCGGCGCGGGGTCGCCCGCGCGCAGCGCCGCGGAAGCCCATCGGGTGCTTTGCGGTATCGCGCCCGGCCATGACATGGAGCCGGCGCGCCGCGCTGCGGATCAACGAGACCGAGTTTCTCTACCGCCCCTGGGCATGCGACGCAAGCTTGCGAGCTCGCTGAAGGGCGACGCGCTTGATCAATGGGTGCTATTGCAGCGGCGCGTCTGCGTCAGAACCCCGACGACGTTGAAGACATCGCCCTGCGGCTACCAGGGCCTCGTCAGGGGCAGCAACGGCTGCGCCGCGTTCGCTGCGAACCTCTCGAGGCGCGACCTGGTCTGTCTTGGCAAGAGGCGACCTCGCACTGTTGGTCTTCTTCGTGCTGAAGTCCGACGAAGTGCGGCTCGGGATAAGATTGGACACGCGAAAGGTGAATTCAAGATTCGTGTATCCTGCTTGCACCCAGCTGGCTACTGCTGCGGCGTGGAGCTCCGTGAAGGTCCGCTCGGATGCCGAGCTCAACTCGGCGCAGGCCGACGTGGGCAACGCCTTCTACCTCATCGAGCTGGCGCCGGGCATGAGAGCATGGTCGCGGCCCCTGATCAGGACTGCCCTGAAGTGCCCGATGGGGCCAGGATCTCACCGCTCTTGAGTGTTTCGCCTATGGGGTGGTCCTGGTCACATTTATTTCTGCCGACGTTTACTTGAGCAATGCGTGCCCGATGCTGGGTGCCCCGAGACATCGCTCGCTCGCGACCGCCACGTGGCTCCTGATCTGGGCAAAGTCTCCCTTGGTATCGGGGTCCATGTGGATGACGTCGCGGTGGTCAGTCAGGATTCTCTTCTTACCGTCGCTGCCTGTGAGCAGATATGTGGCTGGATGGATAGCGCGGGTCTCGCCTGCAGTGGCGCGGCGCCGCCCGGGGCTGACCGAGCGCTCGCTGGAATGATTCTTGACCAGAGTACTGCTATACATAGGATGGCGGCTTCTCGCGCGTGGAAGACCAGATTGGCGCTGCTCTGCGTTGCCGACAGATTTTGGTTTATTGGCGACGAGCTCGCGCGGATCATCGTCAATTTTGCCTGGCGCGCCTTGCTGCGCAGCTGCCTGCTGAGCACCCCGCTCCACGCCTAAATTTTTGCGAAGAAAGCGGGCAGCTCGAAGCGCGGGCTCTGGGGCGAGATGGAGACGGAGCTCAGGCAAGCGGCGTCCCTGGCCCCCCTCGCGCTCGCGGACTGCAGGCGTCTCGGTATCGCGA